GCTAGGTCTCCATGGTAACTGATGCTGTGGAGCTAGCCCGGTCCAGGTTCTGTTCAGAGTTCCAGATGTAAACCGGCTGACAGAGCGTCTCCCTTTAACCAGATGGTTTCCTGACTGTTATTTATGAGCGATCCAGACTCTCAGCTGAGGGAATGTGTTTATCTGCTGACATGCTGAGCTGTGTGTCACTAATATCACTGAATGAAGCCGTGGAGCTACAGCATCACACACAGTCGGTGGAGACGGAGACGGAGCGCTCCGCACAGGCAGCACTTGGCTGCTGATGCCAGTTTAGGTTGGCGGTCACAGTTCTGTCACCATCGGCAACAGCGGTTGATATTGGGGGGGGGGATATACATCACATACCACCACAACAACCGGTGGAAATCACATAAACATGTTTTAAAGTTTGGTTCTGATCTGCTGTCAGGTCCGTTTCCTCTGCTGCTGCTGCAGCTGATAGAATGGATCAGAACATGGATCATTCTGCTGGTATTGATCACTGAGAACATCCAATCAGTAACATTCTAAATATTCTCTATGAACACGTTGAACACTTTCTACCAGCATTCCTGTCTCCACCGTTTACAGTAGCGGCATCATGGTGATGTTCCTCATTGTTCTCCATTAAAACAAGGAGCTGACTGAAGCAGCTGCTCGTCATCGATTCATTCAGGGCAGAAGAAGAGTCACGTGACGCCTCCTTTAATGAGAACAGAGTCTGAAGCATAAAGTCTGAGTCGACAGAAAGTTGAACCTCCTTTGTGATACTCATTATCCCTGATTGCAGCTTTGGTTTTTGTCAAGCCGATTTACACAAAGAAAGCCTGGATATGTTGAACTGGCTTCGTCATACAGCCCTCTGCACTAACAAGGATTAACTGCAAAACATAATTTATGAGCAAATTTCTATTAAATAGCTTCTGTGTTGGAGCTGCAACAATTACGTGATTATGTGTCAAATAATACATTAATTATCTATTTTGATAATCAATCAGTTTAAGTAATTTTAATTAAATCAGTCTAATTTATGTGATTTCAACTTCTTCAATGGGAATATTTCCTTCCTTTCCTCCTCTGTGACAGTAAATTTAATATCTTTGGACTGAACAAGACCAGAACCTGATGTTATTTCTCATTTCAGCCACAAGGGGAGCAGTGAGTTCATGCAACATTTTTTATTTAAATGTTTATTTTCTTTCTGATCAGCTGATCTCTGATTTACACATCAAATTTCATCTTAAAAATCCTCCTTAAACAGAAACATCAGTTAACAAACAGAAATAAAACGATTTGAAATAAGTAAAGTTTCTTGAAGCAATTCGTCCATATTCAATATGAATAAACACATGCTTCCACAAAACCTTTATAGAACATTCACACAACCTTCATGAACAGGTAAATAAGGCCGCTGATGAGGCAGGTCAACCCCAGTGCATCATGGGAGGACTAACTACTTCTGATGTTTCACTGCCGACCTGCTCGATGCTAAAACGTTTCTGCAGATCCAGATGTTTGTTTATCTTCGATCAGCTGACCTTCACCTGCTGACATCATCACACAGCTGTCACACCTGAGCCTTCAAGATGAAACGGAACAAGAAAACAAAAACAAACCAACACAAAGCGGCGAGAAACACACATGCAGCCCCTCACCTGTGTCATGTGACCAAGACTCCGCCCCTCTATGACATCAGATGACATAAATTAAGAATAAATAAATTTGAGTAGACCTCCATGTGAACTCTGCTCTGAGCTGCAGCTACAACCAACCTGTGAGTCAAAACTAGAACAAACCTTCAGAGTTTTGAGGTTCTGCATCATTCTGAGTTGTTTCAGATCTGCTTTGGTTCCTTCTAGAACCCAGCGGAAGGTAGAGATCTATAGTGAATTCCAGAACTGGTGAAACAAACAGGAACATTCTGAAGAACTCCTGAACTGTTCCTCAGTAAACCTAGAGTCTGTCATTTGACTCCCTCCGCACATCCAGAATGACAGCTCTGAATCTAGAACACGTTCTGTGGTATTAACACTGAACAGGTTCTGGACTTAATCTCACTCATGTTTTCTGGTTTCTTTAAGCTGAATTCAAGTTTCTGAATATTGTGCAAAACTAAACCAAGTTCTACAGACTCAGTTAGGACTAGAAAGAACGACTGTATGAGGAAGTCCAAAACCATCATGGATGGCCTCCTGAACAAAACTCTGAAGATAAGTTTTAAACTTTAAAGCTTTTAAAGTTTGAAACTTCTACTGATTCCAGAGTCTGATCTAAAGGTCGGCGTGTTCTGGACTCACTTAAACCCTGACGTTTAGAACCGCAGGCTGGCTGAAGAACTCCAGATGAGTCAGGTGAGTTCTTGAGTTGCAAGGATGAAATCTCATGGATTCACATCTACAACCTCTGAATTCAGAATGTTCCTGTGAGTTCCTGAGTCACGTCTGGAGAACTTTTACTGAAATTAAACTAAAGAATCCTTAAAAGGGTTCTACAAATGTTCTTTCTTTGCTGGACTTCATCATGTAACTGAAGCGTCACAGGTTCGATCCTGCTGCAGCGGGTCTGGATCAGTGTTGGCTCTGAATCCGTCTGTGATTGGTCAGTCCGGAGCTGCGTCCTGTCTGCTGATTGGCTGGTTCTCTGAGGCGCAGTAGGTAGACTTGTGGAAAAGCTTCATGAGGTTCTTGAATCGAAGGTGGACCTGCAGGAAATACCACAATCATCCTTAATTCTGCATTTTAAAATTTAAGCAGGAACAATGTCACAGCTGTGCACCTGGACCCTGAGGCCCCGCCCCCTTTCACCTGTTGGGCAGTCCTGTTTCCCAGCTGGACAGACACCTGTCTGAATGTGCTCTGATTGGCTCCTCTCTGCTGACACGCCGTCAGGATGATTCGGTCAGCGTCACTGAAACAAACAGCCGCGTTGAGTGTGTCAAAACAATTTTACATTTAGTGTCCTGTTTCCAGAAACTTTTATTCTCTGGAATGTTTTCTGATCTTTATCTTTTCAACAACATCTGTATTACCGTGTCCAGGTGACCACCTTCCCTCTGTTTGGCTCCATCTTGATGCATTTGCCCCCAGCAGCTCGTTGCTCCTCCCCCTCCTCTCTGTCATTGGCCATCTGAGGATCAACTGTCTTCCTGTCTGGAGGATTTTGGGAAACGCAGTCTGTGTTGGAGCTGGTTGCTACGGGTGACGAGGGGATGTGTGAAAAGAAGTCACAGACTTCCTGCTGCAGGCGTGGATGGAGTCTGAGCAGAGACGACAGCTGGGAACACAATCAATCAGTCAATCAATCAATCAATCGATACAACGATCAGCAGAAACACTGACTGATCAGTCGATCAGCTAATTACCGATAATGAAAAGACAGAGCTGTCAGATAAAATATCTTAACTGACGATCAGCTGATACCTGTGCCATGTCTTCAGGTGAGGGGGCGGGGTTTCCTTGCAGCACAGACACCACCTGCTGGTAGGGGGCGGAGCTTTGTCCCAGGCTCCGCCTCAGGCATCGAAGAAACCGCCGGCTGCGTTCAAAGAGCTGCTGCTCCAACAGCTACCAGAGAGGAAGAGGAGGAGGAAGAGGAGGAGGAGTTACCACAAGCACTTGAGTGACCTCACAGTGATGTCAGAGTGATGTCACCCACCAGACTGCAGCGCTGCGCCTGTCTGCGGTTTAGAAATGCGGCAAAGTCTCTGAGCAGCTGAGGCCACGGCTGCAGGATGCTGCTCAGCCTGCTGTACAGAAGCTCAGGGGCCTCTAGGGGCCCTGCAGCTGAAAACTCATCCAGAACCTGCAGCAGCTGCTCCGGGAGGCCGGGGCTCACCTGTACGGCATCACACACCTGACAGGAAGCACACAGGTCAGGGTTTAGGAGAACAAAAGTGATGAAGGGAGTGTCAGAATAAGAGCTCACTCTGTGCAGGTAGTCCTGAGCGAAGGCCACATCCTCCGACTGATCGCCACCATCACTGTCAACTGACTCCGCCTCCTGCAAACAAACACCTGATCAGTAAAACTACTGATTATTTCTTCACTGATCATCTGATGATGAACCTTCAGATTATTAAAACTGTTGACAAGAAAAGATCAAAGCAGACTGATCAGTGATGATCAATGATGACTGATCATCAGAACAGTGAAGACGCTAAAGTTCAACCAACGGCTTTAATGTTTTCACGTCACACAGGACTCCATGTGAGCCCAACACATTGATCTCCATCTGACCAGAGGATGTTCTCCAGCATCCATCAGGCTTCTGTTCATGTTCTCTGGTGAACTTTGATGTGGAAGTTTAGCTGTGAGCAGCAGCCAGGTTTAGTTCTGCTCCTCCGTCCATAGAGGNTGTAGAACCATGTTCATGCAGGTGGACTGATGGAAACCACAGCTGGACTCAGTTTGGTGTCACTGATCACAGCTGGGTTCACTTTGGTTCTTTGAGCTTCTACTTTGGAGCCTGAATTTTCAACATAGTCTTTATGAAGGATTTGATTTCAAGATTCATCAGATGAAATCCTGTGTTGTTTAACTCAGAAGTAATCTGATTATCATCAGGTGATACAGTTCAGAGTCATTTGATGTTTAAGTGATATTGCGCAGGGCATCACTGCTGCTGTAGACGGTACATGTGTGTTACCTGTATATATGTGTGTTCCCCGTACACATGTGGTACCTGTGTAGGTGTGTTACCTGTTCCTCCAGTAGTTGGACCCTCGGACATTGTGATGATAGTCCAGGTCGAAGTACGCCGTCAGCAGGTCACGAACTCTCAGACGATCTCTGTTCTCAAGGGTCAGGTGAGGACAGAGACCATAACTACAGACAGACAGGTGAACAGACAGACAGACAGGTGTGGTGAGGCAGCAGTTCCTCTGGTGTCCAGCAGGCGTTGCTGTGATCAATGAAAGAGTCTCACATGTGATCTCTGATGAAGCGTCTCAGCGAGCCGATGGTCAGATAGTCTCTGAAGACGACCACACTGTCCTCAAAAGTGTTGGAGAGTCTGGGAGGTCTGAACAGCAGCACACACCTGGAAACACACGTGACACAAAGATATGACATATATGTAGTGTGTGCGCGCGCACACAGACACGGCATGTTAACATGTGACGCTTGTCCTCAGACTCACTCAGAGTTGATGCCGTGATCTTCAGCCAGTTGCAGATCAGTGCTGTGGGCGAACCTAAACTGCTCTCTGAGGAGACCTGCTGCCTTCAGGAACTCGGCCAGATGAGAGCTGTCTGCACCTGAGAACACACCTGACACACACACAGGTAACAGGTCAGGTAACAGCCACACCTGAAGTGATGTCACTCATTACAGTCTTGATGTTGAGTCGTACCGACAATGCTGGCGTCGTAGTTGTTGACAAAGGCATGCAGATCCTCTTTGGTTCTCAAGAGAGCCGAGTCTGGACCGGTCTGCTTCTTCATGTACTGACAGATCCCCTCTGAGAGCACACAAACACACACATTTACGCACCACCTGTCCACTACCTCTACCTTACTCAGATTCTCCTGAGATGTTCTCTGGCCAGGTGAGATACACGATCCTTCTAAATGGTCTCCTCTGACCGGATGTTGGTCTTTTCAACATGAAGGATCAGCTACTCTTCTCCTCACCTCGTCTTTGTGGCTCAGACCAAACACCCTCCAGAGGAAGTTCATTTCGCTGCTTACGTCTCATTGTGAACAAGATCTAGAGATTCTGAAACTGCTTCTCCTGTTGCAGCATCTCATCTCCAACCTAGACGGACCAACCCACCGGTTCCCACCAGAGAACCATTACGTCAGAGTGGGAGGTTCTAAACCTTACTGTGGTCTGATGAACCCAACAGAACCACATAATCTGCAAAAAGCAGAGATTCAGAGGTTCTCCAGGGAACCTGGTTCCTCTCCAAGTCCACAAAACACATGTGGATGGTTGGTCAAACTCCAATGACCTTCTCTGACGCTCTGCTGGGTCAAGAGCCAGTACACTGTTCTACAGGCAGAACCAAATCCAGTGTTCCTCCTGAATCTGAGGTTCAACAGTCGTCTGAGACGCCCTTCATGGACCTGGACTAAACTTTCAACCACTCAGGTGAGGCTTGCTCCAGAGGGAGGGCTGTATGACGAAGTCAGTTCAACAATCCAGGCTTTCTTTGTGTAAGTCAGCCGACAAAAATGAAAGCTCCAGTCAGAGATCACAGGTATCATGACGGAGGTTCAACTTTCTGTCGACTCAGACTTTATGCTTCAGACTCTGTTCTCATTAAAGGAGGCGTTAAGGCGTCACGTGACTCTTCTTCTGCCCTGAATGAATCGATGACNGACTGATGGAAACCACAGCTGGACTCAGTTTGGTGTCACTGATCACAGCTGGGTTCACTTTGGTTCTTTGAGCTTCTACTTTGGAGCCTGAATTTTAAATAATGTTTGTATTCTCAACGTGTCTAAAATCTGAATATTTACCTGCAGCTGGACGGCAGACGCTCTGGATTCTTCTGAAGATGTTCCTCCATCTTCTTCTCTGGATGTCAGAGTCTCTTCCTTTTTTCTGTCTGGCTCCGCCTCCTCCAGGTTGTCGTCACTTTCTGCAGCACTGGGCGAAGATTCAGACAGCGTCAGGAGGACGTCTCCCTCCTCTTCCTCTTCCTCCTCCTCTTCCTCCACTCTGCGGACATCATTTGCTATCAGCTGAGAGGAGGCCGGGCCTTCAGGAGGAGGTGGCGGTGTGGCAATCAGAGCTTCTCTCCGAGCAGGAGGCGGAGTTAACCTGTTCCTCCTAAGACCTGCCAGCATCTGACAGTGGCGTCTGATTCGGTCTCTGGTTGCCGTAGAGATGGAGGAGGATGTGATGTCTGCAGGACTGTCGGTCCTGGTCAGGAGGAGGCGTTGGAGCAGTGCTTGTGGAGGCGGCGGTGAGGGGGAGGAGTTGGTGGAAGGAGGAGGGAGGGGCTGCTGCAGCAGCACAAAGCCGATTCGGCGGAAGCCGAGGTGATCTGGGAGGCGGGGCGGATACCTGCCGCCAGGGGGGAAGCTGTAGCTGCTGGGGGCAGAGCGCAAGGAGGTCAGCTGACTCTGACAGGGGGCGGAGCCAGAAGGACTGTTGTAGCAGCTGATGGTCGGGAAGATGACGGGAAGACTCCGCTGAGAGCAAACAGACATCATCAACCTGCTGAGATCTGACAGGTTTATGACAGAAAGCAACAAAGATCTGCAGCCAATCAGGAAACACTTCATCTACAGCCTTCCAAATATCAACCAATCAGCTGGTTGTTTTTTTAAGACATCAGAAAATTGTGAAAAATGTGGATCGGCTTTTACCTAAATGTCCTTGTTTGTCCAAAGATATTCAGTTTACTGTCAAAGAGGAGAAACTAGAAACATGACTAAAATGGAATAACTGATTGTCAGGATGGTAGGTGATTAGTCTAACAGCTATAGCCGATTAATGGATGCAGCTCTTGTTTCCTGGGTGTCTGTTCTTGATTTCAGAAAGTTCCTCAGAGTATTACACAAATAGCTGATATTTCCTGTAAATTACAGAACATTTCAGTAAAGCTGGAGACAGACACAGAGACAGCAAAGCATCAGTTGCTGCAGTTTTAATACTAAATGTATATTTGTAAAGACTGGGTTCTTGTAATCCTTATAATCATTGCCTGCTGTCACATGAAGCTAATGTTTAACTTTTTATGAATATTAGCTATCGGTTTCCTTGATAATAAGAATCATGACTGCGCTTCCTCCATCATCAGCACCAAACTAACTATTCTGTGTTGAACCGGTAGATGGTTTCCTACCACCAGCCACAGAGGCATGATGCTCTCGTCTCTCTCCACAGGGGGGCGCCGCTCTGCTGGAGCCACAGGACGACAGGCCACCGGCATCGACCAGAGCAGCCGCTGATACCTGAAGGCCTGCAGAGGAGAGCAGCAGGTGAGTGTGAGAGCTGCAGGAAACAACCAGTGAATGAACTTAAACACATCCGGCTGCTACAAGAAGAAGATCAAGTCTGATGGAACATCGTTTAATCTCTAAGACTCCACGTTTAATGAAACTTTATCTCCTAGAGTTTGTTGGACTGCAGCTCAACATGAAAAAAATGGACAGAGGA